TTTTTTGTTTTTTATATTTATAATGTATTATAAAAATATAAATTATATAAAAGAAAATTAAAAATACATATAGAATATTGACTAAGTGTACCCCTATTGATTGAAAATTGACAATTGACTAGCTCTATCTTATCGGGTCCGGATGTAGTGGGCACGTTAGGTAAGCACAATGAGTCAGCACATAATAGCTGTGTGACACATGTCCCAGTTAATGTGCCTTTCATCCAAACGTTCTTGTTTCGTTAGACATAAATTATTTATTATTTTATTATCTTTGTCAAAATTAAAAATAAAAGGAAAATTGTCCAAAACTCACCATGAGCTTTCAGCATTTCTCTTAAACTCATCATAACTTTTCAAAATGTCTAAAACTCACCATGTCACTAACTTGACGTTAAACAGACTAACGGGTGTTAATATATTACCATTTTAATCTTCATATAAAATATAAAATATATACAAAACAAATTAACGGGTGTTAGTATATTACTATTTTAATATTTAGACATGAAAAAAAATTAAAAAATATTTTCAAATATAAAATACATAAAAACATAGAAATTACAGAAAATATAAAAAATTATAAAATTTTCAAACAAAATAAAAAATATTTTCAAATTATAGAAACCATAGAAATTGAAAAACAAAATCAGAAAATAAAAATTGTAGAAAAAACACAAAAAAATTATAGAAAAACACAGAAATTACAAATAAATAACAAAAAATACAAGAAAATTTATAGATTATAGAAAATAGAAAATGTAAAAAAACAGAAATTATAAAAAACATTGGAAATTATAACAAAATACTAAAAATAAAAAAAAATAAGAAAATTAAAAACTGAAAAAGACCATTTTTCCTTTAAATAGCTATTCAAAGGTAATTTGGTCATGAAAATTGTTATTTATGTTGACATGGACACCTCTGTTAAGAAGCATTAAGGGAATGTGAGTTTTGAAAAATAAAAACTTAATAACATGGTGAGTTTTAAACATTTGGACAAGTTGTAGTGATATTAAGGGAAATGTTGAAAACTCATGGTGAGTTTTAGACAATTTTCCAAAATAAAAAACAATAAAAAAAGAAAATGAAAATGAAATGTAAAAGGAAAACCTAAACGTATTGGGAATTGGGACTCATTTATGTTTCCTTTTTTCATTATTTTTTATTTTTAATTATTTTGACAAAAATAATAAAATAACAGATAATTTATGTCTAACTGTTCAAAAACGTTTAGATGATGTCACACAGCTATTAGATGCTCAGTCGTTATACTTACCTAACGTGCCTATTATATCCAGACCCCTACCCTTACTATCCACATCCCTTAATATTCTGTCAAACTGATACACACATAACCTATAATTTTTTAAAACCCAATTTTATCCTTATCATTTTCTTCCTTTCAGCCGCGGTGAATCGAGCCGGCTCGGTCCTTAACCACTTATATCCTTACCCCCCTCCACCTCCGGCTCCTCTCTCTCTCTCTCTCTCCCCTTCTTCCCCTTCGTTCTCTCTCACTCTCTTCCCTCTTTCATCACCGCAGCTACAACAGCGGACCCCTCAACCTCTGCTCAAACGAAAGGAGCCATTGGAGACTCTACGTCACAAACAATTGGTAACACCAGTGAGAGGAAGGGGAAGAAGCCTGCAAATCTTTTTAACAGTTTTCCATGACCAAGCTTGGGTTCCCGAACGTTCGGTTTGTAATCACCAAAATAGGGTGGCCCAATGTCGAAGACGTCGACTAAATCGGAGTGAACTTCTTCAACGCAGTTACATATAACTGGCATTGTACCACGAGAACTAGAAGGGTGTTCGGCTGGAAATCGCCAAAATAGGATGGCCCAATGTCGAAGATATCGACCATATCGGAGCGAACATCTTCAGCACAGCTACATATAACCGACGTTGTACAACGAGAACCAGAAGGGTGTTCGGCTAGTAATAACCAAAACAGGGTGGCCCAATGTTGGAGACGTCGACCAGATCAAAGCGAACATCTTCAATGCAGCTACATATAACCACGTTGTACAACGAGAACTAGAAGGCTGGATAGGGAATTGAACGGCACTAGGGTGACTGAGAGAATGACCAAAGATGTCGCCGCTGCTAGGAGTTGCAGCGGTGGTGGCGTTGATGCAAAGAGGCAGGGGATGGGATAAAGAAGATAGAGGAAGAGAGAAGAGACCAGAGAGAACAGCAGAAAAGGGTTGCAACGGCAATTGACAACGTAGCTCGGGCTCGTCTTTGCAATAGCAACGATAGTGAGCACTCAGCGGAGAGGAGCTTGAAATGCTGTTGAATGATATCCTTCATGCCACATCTCTCAATCTTAAGTTCGAATCCTCTCTAGAGTACCCACTCGGTGCCATCCTGCCACTCTTCCCAGTAGAGAAGGGGGAAATATCACACCGTCTTGAAGCTCGTCAATCAGAGCCGGCGGCGAGCTTGCTCTGATCTCCCCTCTTTTTCCTCTCTCTCTCCCCACTTTCTCTTCTTCCTCTCCTTCCCCTATCTTTCAATCTGATCCTCTTTCTCTGTTATTGAAGCACCATTTCAAGGATGGTCACCAGCGCGAATGCCTAGAATAGCTGGAATTGGTAATCTCTTTTGGGTATCAAGTATTTAGTTCACCGTGAAGAGGATATGGTCCGGTTCAAGAACTGTAATAGAGATTTCACCACCGGCATGGAGATATCAGACCGAATGTTCCGTTCTAAGTTGGGAGGACAATCGAAGGACATCCATGGTAGTTGCAGTCCCAATTTTGACGTTTCTGACGTTGTGGATTTACGTTGGTCGATTTATGGTATTGATGATTGTCTAACCTTCTGGTCTTGACTTGAGGGCAAAATGGATATTTCAGCCCTTTCCGTCAATATTTAATGACAATGCTATTTTTCTGGTTGGATTAAGGATACACTTAGTCAATTAATCGAAACTGAATTAACCTGTTCAATTAACTCTATTTTTCTTGCTCAACCCTAGCAATAAAAAATGGAATCAATAGACATTTCTTTGTCGGAAACGCCCATTGTCCAGTGCGGCCGCTACAATCATCCGACAGCTTTATGATTTGTGTTCAAGGCCAATGCTAAAAATGAAAAATGGAGTTTTCCATGCAAGTTAGACTTGGTAATCATAATTCTGACTTCTGAGTTGCAAAAAAAGCCTGCACTAGGCATACAGAACTAAACCCCATGGAGGGGGAATAAGGCCTCATATGTGGCCGTCAAAAAAGGAGCTAACCAACCATGATCTACAGAGTTACAGTAGAGGGACTAAAGAGACCTGAGGGTCTTAGATGCAATTGAGTGAGCTAGAACATTGTATTCACGATGCCAATAGCAGTGCAGTGCCCGTTCCAACAGTCTTTTACAGTCCAAGTCTGGTTGGCTAGTATACATCTTAGCATAAAAGTCCAAGTGCAGGAGTAGGACATCCGAACTCATTATTTGCATGAAGGCAGGATTGTTGATTCAGGCATCCGGCAATAAGTAGATGACCTTTCAACAAAACTCATGGCTGATACTTAAAAGGAGATTATTTTGTTTTTCGCCACTGTCCAAAGCCAGTACAATAACAGTCGAGATCTACTGCAAATGTTTTGATCAGCACTTGACATGCACTTCCATTTGGTCTGTGACCGATGTCCTTTTAATCCTATCGAAATACCCATCCATGTAAGACCACACATGTTGTGGATATCTGCAAGTGCATTACAAGTGTAGTGCAAAAAATGCAGCAGATGCGCAAAGAATAGCCATCTGGTAGGTGGTAGATATAGTTACTTCTGGTCCAATCACGATACACCACATCATCTTGACACGTGGATCCTATATATTATACCGACGTGGCATGTATCTGGTTTCCTAGAACATTCATGAGTAGACCCATTTAATGGCGGGTTCTGATCCCATGAACAGGGGACAGGTCCAGGGCTATAACCTCTGACAATTCTGCATAGTGGGTCTTATGCCCCCACCAGTATCTTTTCTCCATTATTTGCATTGAGTCAAAATAAAACAGCTGGCTGATTAGATTTTTTAGATGGTCACAGGTTATAACAGCATGTACGTTGTTCTGGTGAGGCGAGGCTGAGATATTCAATGGGAGAGGGACCCATGAGGCCATGACTCTTGTAGGACATGTATAAATCAGTCCACCACCCTAAAATGATTCCGGACTACATTGATTTTATAGGCAAGTAAAAGGGAAAATAGAAGGCTCCATGAGATTCAAAAAGAAAACCGAAATTCTAACAATGCTTTTCAGAAATCTGAGACTGTGCAGACTGCATAGAGAGAGTTCCTTTGTAGGCCACACAAAGAATGCAGCTGGTTAATTGTACTAGGCCAGGGGCGAGCTGGGAAATCCTAGCTATTTCAGTGAAAATTTTGTAGTACAGAGTGTTTCCTAGCTTGCTTTGACCACAAGAAACAATAACCCCTCTTACCTTTGCGTGGCCAATAATAGATCCTTCGCTATATCTCTGGGTAATAGACAAGTGCCTAAACTTCATCCGTTCCAGAAGTCTCTTCCAAGTTACTTGCTCATCATCACAGGATTAACAGAGCTGTGCTAACATGGCAGCAGAGCTACGAACAACATTATTTGCATTTGGGTTGGATTGGTTTTTGGTAAGGACTGGTTTTCATGTGGATTGGACTTTGGAGAATGATAACACGGATGACAGGCTAATTAATTAGAAGAGAAAGCTGATGCTTAATTGGTGTTAGCTTTTTATCAGGCAACAGAGCACTAGGCTGTGAATCTGTGTTGGAGCTTCTTCTTTCGCCAAATTGCTTTTCGTGCTCTGTTCCAAGTGAATTCAGCGAATAGACCAATCAAAACATCCTGAAATCACCAATTGCGATCCCAGTGCAGAAAGACTTATCTGATTGTATAACAAACAAAGAAACTCCTTTCGATCCTACAAACAATGCACCGAGTTTGCGACCCAACACAAGGCTAGTTAACTGCAAAAAGAAGGTCCCTCCTCCCGAAAAGGCAGCCCCTAACATTCAAAGTTCAAACAAATCCAATCGCATTCAGCTTTACATACTTTTTGATGGCTAACAACTAAAACATATGCATCAAATCACAAACAGTTCCCCCTTCCCAGTTGCCACCCCAATCCCCCAATGCCCTAAGAGCTTTCAGCCTTTAGAAAGACACTGGAAGCATCTCAAGCCCACCCTCAAAAGGTAGGAATGAAAGAGAGTGTATATAAATATTCCTTACTAGAAAGAAATACAACAAAATTGAATCAGTAGTACTTTGAACAACTATTAACAAACAGTCTCCCATGGCTTTCTAGATTTTCCTCCGGGCCTCTTCTTCCTGGTAGCTTTTGGGATTGCAGTCAGCTCTTCCCAATGGGGCAAAGATTCTTTTGCTTTTCTTTTTTTTTTTCCTTTTATTTTGTTTCCAAGAAAAAAAAAACACTAGTTCATCTGTTGATCAGGGGAACTTTTTTGAGTGCTGGAAAACAGAACCCTTAATCAAATCCAAATAATTAGACCAATAATCAGATTGAAAAAAACAAAAAAAAATGGAATTCAGTAAAGCTTGGCATCAGTTGTCAACCAGTTTGCCTCGGCGTCGTGGTTTCTCATTGGCCATACCACAGTTTTCATCACCATCATTAAACATAAGCCTTCTCCTCTTAGTGCCAGCAGCAGAGATGAAGGATGAATCCTCCTGAACGTCTTCTGAGGGTTTACAAATTGATGATGGATCTGGGGAAATCAAAAGCCTCGGTATTTCCAATTTTCCAATCTGCGATTCCTGCATTAGATTATAGCAGGAGAGAACATGTTCCTGTAAACAAACATTGATCAAATTCCAATCTTTCTTGATCGCAATTAAACCAATGAAGCAGGGATGAAGAGAATGACCCACATTTTTCAAAGACCCACATGATGAGATAGAACCCATCTTAAACTCAACTGTTTTACTGGTTAATCTCCGATCCAATGCTGCCAAGACTGCGGCAGCAGCTATTGCAGATGGGCGATGATCCATTACATTCATCTCTGCATAGAAACAAAACAAATAGCTTTCAATCCATATCAAATATCTATTGAAGGTTTATCTTTATGTATATGTTTTCCTTTATATCGATAAAGATTACCTTTTATTATAGTGAGGACGAGCTCCATTGCTCTAGATACTATACACTTTGGTGGATATTCATCACAGAATTTGGTGACGAAGTAATGGAGATAGGCAAATGGAGTGATTGAACCCATTCTCCATTCCAATGTGCTCAGAATTAGAAGCTCCATTCTCTGAATCACCTTGGTTTCGAAGTTGTATTCGTCAACTCTAAACTCGGACAACGCCGGTACTCTGCATTCTTCCATTTTAGCCGCTAAAGATAAACACGCCACAGATAGTAACCGGATCGCCCAAGTTTTCCCACTCTATAGAATGAAAGAAATTTATGGAAATCAACACCAAAGAGAAATAATACTTAAACCCATTCTTCAGTTTTCGTTCTCATAGATGGAAAAGAAATAAAAAATTAAAAAAAAAAAGGAAAAGCGAGAAAAGATTTCCTTACTTCGATTGTACGCCTTGAAAGAAACCGATCGAGGTAAGTGACAGATAAATAAGCTGTTTGAAAGCGAAAGCCGAAGTATGCCCTAGTCTGATTCAAAGAGCATCGGAACTCTCAGAAGCAGAAACAGAATCCAATATGAGAAATAATAACAAAAGAACAGAACAAGAAAGGGAGAGAGAGAGAGAGAGAAAGAGACTGAAACAAACTTTGAGAATCCATAGGATGGCATCCAAGCGAGCAGATTTGAACCAGCTCTCGTTGATTATTGAATAGTCATCCGAAGATCCATAGCATTCGCTTCCAAAACTGCTCTCTCTATCAACCAGCATTCCGATATATGCCTCTTCGGTTTCTGAATTTGGGTAATTGTTTAAATTGAGAAATCCATCTTCATCTACCTCTTCATCCAAGCAACCGTCCTTTTCTCGACAGAGAAGACTGGAGAGGGAAAATGAAGACCCGGAATCTACCATCTTCCTATCCCTCTTTACATACACAACACAGGGAGCCAGGAAAGCGGATTGACCACCATGAAGTGATGGCACCAAATAGAGAAAAACTTGGGTTTTGGTCGAAGGCGACGATGGTCAGGGGCAGTTTAAAATGCCGCCAAATTTAGCAGATATGATAGCGGCAAATTTAACGGATGTATGAGTAGTGTCACAGCAATAAGAGAAGAGAAGGATTCGTTGTTTAGTGGGTGTAGAGAGTGTAGATAGTGAGTGAGTGAGTGAGGTCTGAGGTGAGGCGGGGGTTTAGCCGGGCGAAGTGGCCTTGTTTTCAGGGGACAAAGCCATACTCTTAAGCCCTTCTCAACTACTCTGATCTGATGTGATGACTGATGACTTGTGGAGGTGTCCCCCCTACAATCACCCCTTCTCTGCCCACTCCTTTAATTTCCAATCCCATACGAACAACTAACAATCATGTTTCAACGTGTAACTACTTTTAAAAGGGGTGTTTTAGTAACTTCAAGTTCCACATCTTTTTCCTGTAAAGTTAGTTACTTTTATTATTATAATTTTTTTTCTGGGGATTTCGGGGGTATCAAGTGGTGGGGACTGGAACAAACCTTGGCAGTTTGGGAAAATCAACCTGCGCTGCGCTGGGTTTGGATCTTTCTTTGCATGACACGTTACCTTCTTTAGTGCTTTGTTTGTCTTTTTGGTTAAAAGGATATTGAATGAAAATATTATTTTACCCCTCAACCTTGACAACGTGTCATGCATAAAAAGCTTCCAAACAGCTTGGGCTGTTTTCTCCTAACAGCTGGCTAGGAGCAAAACGGGGCGGGGCACACATGAGGTCCACTTCATCTTATCACAGAGAGAGAGAGAGAAAAGGGTTGCAATTTCACGCCTCCATATTAGGTGCCCGTTTGGGGAGGCCTTATATAAGTAGTAGCATCTGAAATTATATGAGCCGAAAAATTTAGAAAGTCAAACATAAGCTTAAATGAATAAAAAATTTCGGGTGACACCATCTCAACTAACTAACGGCTTTTCCGATGCAGCTCAATCAATGCATAAACCCTCCCAAACAAGCCATAAAAAATATGCCAAGTCACCACTTCAAATGAAAGATCACTATGATCTCTCTCCGCCTTGCAATGGATTGATTGAAGGTAAAGCCACGTTTTTGGCTTTCCCAATATACCCTTTCACATGGTAATATTTTTGTACAATATACAAATATTCCAGCAATCGACCCAAAAAACAAAGAAAAGTTCTTTTCTTTTGTAAAACCACGTGCTTCTCCCCAATAAATATTTCCGAAAAATACGAATATACCCATTTCAAATTTCTGAAATCTATTTATAAACATTCAAAATGTCAAATACCTTGACATAGTAGTAGTAATGCTAGATTTAGGTTTTCATATTATTAAAATATGGTTTAGTAATATACAAAAGAATATAAGACCTACCAATCTACTTTAACATACTTCTACTCCATGTTTGGATAAGCATGGTGGGGGACATGGTTTTTAAAAACGAATCGGTGTTTGAATCGGTTAGGGGCTAGTTGCCGGTTTGAACGAGCCGATCATTCGACTCGAACGACTGACTTGTTTTGACAAAAAAAAATTAAAATTGGAAAGCGGTAAAAACGGCTCGAACGGTTAATCAGATGGTTCAGCGGTTTGCTGACCAAAATCAACGGTTTTAGAAGAAAAAGCGATTTTGGAGGAAAACAAAACCATTTAGGTGATCGATTCCTGGTTTTTCCAGTCCGATCGTCCGGTCCGGTCCAGTTTTGAAAACATGGTGGGAAAAGAGTAGTATAAAACTGAGTTTGGATCTCTAACTCTTAGGCTGTGTTTGGTTTGAAACAAAAGATGGAAAAGAAAAAGGAAAATGCAGAGAAACATATCTAAGATTTGTACATATATTCTTTTCATTTTCCTACCTTTTTTTTTCCTTCAAATCAAACATAACCTTTTAACGATTTGAATTAAATTGTATACTAACCAATGAGAGAATTCATGGAATGGTTAAGAGGATTCATCGAAATTCATGATCCAATCTGGAAATTTTGATGAATTCGCATTGGTTAGTGTAGAAATTAGAATAAATCGTTAAGTCTTAGGAGATTATTAGAAGTGGGGATAGGATGACAATCCGGTCAAACCCTTCTTCTATGTTAGCTTGAACAAATGAACTTAGGCTTCTAATCCTAATGGCTTAATGTTAACCGTCCGACGATATTGGGAATAGAGTCTGTATTAGTTTATTGGAGATGGATCCAATAAAATATGGACACGCTAGTGATCCAACAAAAAAGGTACATCCTTGTTCTTTCGAATTTCACATAAATGGAGATTGTGTTTGTATTTTATTGGGTGGTGGTGAGAAGGTGGTCGCAGCTGATTCAAGCTCATCAAACCCACCATGCGTACACTTGTTGTTATAATGATAATTATTTTGTACACTCAAATCAAGAATCTTTCTTCCTCTTGTTCTCCCATTTCTGGGTAACGCTGTATAGAAAATTTGGCTCATCCAGAAAATTTCGTGCACCATTAATTTAGTCAATCTGATACAACATCCTAACATTGGACCATTTGCTAGGTGGCCAGGCAAAAATATTGCTAGTTATCGCCTGAAGAAAGAGAACTCCTTTACTTTTTGTTTTTATTTTAGTTTGTTGAGATATAAATAAGTATTACATGTATAAAGAATTGTAAATTAAATTTCTGTTATTTTTGCGCAGAAGGTTTATTAAAAGGGATTCACTCTCTTCTCTACTCAAATTGAATTTGAATAGAAGACATGCTTATTAATTAGTATAGAACAATAGAAGAAGTAGTTGGCCTGGAAGAAGCTATGGATCATCATGTGACAGTGATATTATTATTATTTTTTTAAACAGGGAAAAGCATTGTATTAATGAAAGTGTAGAAGAGGACACGAGATCCAAAACCAAGTTGACCCTTAAAAAAAAAGATAGTAATTAAGTTGGCAATACTTGCATCCTTCATTAATTGACATATTAGATTAAATGTCCTTTAGGCTGTGTTTGGTTGCAATGCAAATAAATTTGCATTGATGTGAAACTATGGTAGTGCAAATGATTTGAGCGTAAATTCTGACTTATTTGTGTCTCAAGTTTTATCTTATTTTATTTGATTGTAATATAAATGAAATTAATACATGAAGCGGAATAAAGTAAAATCCAAAACAAAATTAAATGATAATTTACATTTTTTTCATTTGCACTCCCATACATTTGTACTAATACAAATAAAATTGCACTACAACTAAACACAGCCTTAAGCTTTAAACCACCCACTAGCTTTAAATCATTCCCACATACCGTTAAGTAGCAAGTGCCCCACGTCTACATTAATGTACACTTAAAATTCCATTTGGTCTAATAATTTGACATAGGTATTAGTTCCTTTGGCCTGGCTTGTTTGTAGTACAATTTCACTTGCAATGGTGTAAAGGTATGGGAATGTAAAAGATTTTGATTTATTTTTGTTTCAGCTTTTGTCTTGTCAATAAATTCTATTTTTTTTTTTTTTTTGAAGATGCCAACTAGCTTGCCGGTAAAGTCTCTTAAGTGATTGTAGTAAAGACCTAGGATCAAATCTTGCCTTCGCCAGGGTTGAAGATTTGCAGGTTTAGGGCGGGCTGCCTACTATTGTAACCCATTTGCCTAACAAAAATGATGTTACTCAAAGTAAAACCCAAAATAAAAATGAACCAAAATTTGTATCATTGTCATTTCATTCTTATGGCTCAGTTTGGAAGGAGTACAAATACAAATATGTAGATCTAGTGCAAAACCTTGTATTTTGTATATATTTACACTTAGATATTTGTATTTATACTCCTTCCAAACTAAGCCTATGCATTAAATTTTTACTATTGCAAATTAAATTGCATAACAAAGTAATAAGCAATTAAAGCCTTCGTTTTTTTTTCCTTTTTCTGGCATTTGGTGATAGGCATCACACTAATNCCCCCCCCAGTTGACAATTAAAGCCTTAGTTTATGAGGCATCCAACATTTTATTTTATTCATTCAAATCAATAATATTTTATTGATTCTTCTCATATCTTTGCCCTCTTTCTAAGTAAACAGCAGAATTTTAGCAATCATCCATGTAGAATAATTAATTCTCTTCATAAATTTGGTTTGCAACTACTACACTCTGAAGGTAATTAAATAGTTTTAGTACAGTAATAATTTTTAAGAAAAAGAAAAAAAAAAAAGAAAAGATTATTGGCCCTCCACCTGCCAAGCACGTGAAAGGCTTAAACAATTTGGCTTAAATCCATTATCACAACATATAATTACTCCAATAGTGTCCATCTGAATGTTGTCTTAAATGTGAATAAAGGACATAAAATGTATCATGTTGTATTGTAATTTGAAGGCACAGTTTGGTCACCTTCTCAATAAATTATACCATTTTCTTCTGGGCAAAAGGAAAACAAGAATTGTTATGACTTATAACTTTGTCTCATTATTATTGTTATTATTTTCTCAAATTAAAATAATAAGTCCAAGCACAGTGGCTGTTATGAGTTATGAGGGTGGTTGGCGGTAACAGCCAACAGCCATTTAAACCATTATTTCTGGTAGAATGGAAATACATATATATTAAATTTATCATCATTAATCGTTGGTATCAGTGCAAAGATTTAATTAGTACATTTGTAGTACTCGGTAATTTGGTATATCACTGGCTTGAAAGTTAAAACCGCAAAGAAATTGTCTCAGATCACCCGGGACGCCACCGGGCACCGACCAACTCTCTACTCGGTGACTCAGCGAGTCGGGTTGACGAGTCAGTGTATTATCATTATGACGATAAAAAAATGCGTTGATAAAAATGGAATGCTTAAAATGGATCAATGGTAACGAGTTTGTCCAAAATAACTCGGCTTGCTCGTTCACAGCCGAAACGAGTCTGTGTAGTATCACGATGTATCGACGATAATTCTGTCAGAACGAGGCAACTGGTAGGTTATGTTCCAACTTCCTACACTATTTTTCTTATGCTGCTGCTCCATCTCTACCCACGTCCGGTTTTCTGAATTGATTGTTTTTTTTTTTTTCCGATTAATCTTACTTATTTTGCTGGCATATATGGATGAGGATGATGATATAATTAATTCTTATAACTATTTGATTATATGTCGAACACATTTACAAGTGGAGCACTTTGAAAACAATCAGATTGAAATATATACGAGTCTGGAAGAAGGAATATGCTTGAAAAGTCCAATTTGATCCAGCCGATCGATACCGAAGCCAAGACAAGTTTGGAAAGCTTTCCAAGCTAGGCTTGTGATGTGAGTGACAAAATTTGAACCAGTCTGCAGCAAACTACATTACGTGAGCTTGTATGTTTTTATTATTATTATTATTA